GGACTTTTTAAAATTTTTGTTTTTAATAAAGGACTTGTCAAAGACTGTCTAATTTTTTACACTATGCCTTTTTTTTTATGAATGAGTAGTGGTACCATGTACCCCATACTCATTCATATAGGGTGGGGCCAGGATCTGGGGGCCCCTTATTAAAGGGGGCATACAGGTTCTGATAAGCCCCCCACCCACAGACCCCTTCAACCACCATTCACTGTCATGGGGAAGAGGTCCTTGGCACGCTTGTTTAAGGACCTGGTATGGATTTTTGGGGGACCCCCAACGCCATTTTTAAAAAAAATTTTGGTGTGGGGGATTCCCCTCAAAATCCATATGAGACCCGAAGGGCTTGGTATCAATGGGGGAGGACACCATGCCAGTTTTAAAAAAAAAATTAATTGGCAGGCAATGCTGGTAATTCTTTTTACATTCAGCTTTCAGCGGGGAACATTAAAGAATGCTTTCACTGCTAAAATACCGCATGACTTAATATTATAACTCAGGCAATACTTTAGTAGCTGTGCAGTATTTTACCGCATACTCAGATGTGGTAAGATACCGCTTAGTGAATTGCCTCTGTTCAAAGTTTGTGGTCAAAAGTTTGTTCGAATGTTCGACCGTGAACTGAACGGGGGGGTGTTCGGCCTATCACTACTCATCAGTTGTTACGAACGCAGCAGCCTCTCGCTCCTTAACAACCATGACAGTTACTGGTTGTTAAGGATGTCGATGACTGCCCACTCCTTAATTATGCAGTATTTAGTACTGGTGTCAAATACGCTGGCTACCACCAGTGTTAAATTACCACATGTTTTCACTACTAAAATACTGCATCACTTCATAAAACAACTCATGCGGTATTTTAGTAGCTTTTTTTGTGAAATGAAAACAATTTTTTGAAAAATGGTACATGGTATCTTACTGCATTCTCTGATGTGGCAAGATACCACTTTGTGATTGGAGCCCACTATCCCAAAGTTCAGCTTCAAAGTAGGTCCTGCACGACAAGCAAATTCCCCTTATTTACTTATCCCCCTCCTGATGCCATAATGATGCACTGCAATTAAAGAAATGAATAAATACGTTTGGTACTGCTGACACAATCTCAGGAAATGACAAGAAGCCCAAATCTAATGAGAAGACAGTACAACACAACGAAGAGTGTCTTCTCACGAGATTTGGGCTACTCACTATACCCAACTATCTTGCTGGAAGGATGGCGACAGTACCCTCACCTAATCATCACTGGCAGAAGCAGAGGTATGGGGAGTATACTATCTTTTTTTACCTACACGTTATTTTTAACCCCTTCGCGCCAGCTCCTCCTGGCCCTTTAAGGGCTTCAGAAGCCAAGAGGCGGGGTTTAGGGTCATGTGACCGCCGTGACACATGATCGGGAAAGGTCCAGATCGAAAGAGGAGATCGGAACCTTTCCGTGAGTAACGGACATGTGTGCTGAGAGCGCCAGGGGTGTATTTACCGCAAGGCAAACAAGGAATTTGCCTAGGGTGGCATTTTTCAGGGGGGGCAGCACCAGAACAGAAGAAGGAACGCAAACGGCATGAGGACCAGGTAGGATCCAAGAGAGGTTGCGGGCTGCTTGATTGTATATGCAGAGCCTGACTCTCATTCCAGGGGATGTCTGTAGCTGTAAATGTGAGTCTTTCTTTCTCTCGCTGGGGGGGGTGGTGTATTGAGTGTGTGGCGGTAGTGGAAGGCTTTCTCGGGTGGGGGGTGGGGGGTCAGGGTGGAGGGGGAGTTTTGTTGTTGATTGGTGTCAGGATCTCTCCACAGGGAGGGGGCAGCTGATTTTTGTGTTGTCTAGGGCAGTACAAAACCTAAATACATCACTGGGGAGCGCGTATGTATTTTTTTAATAGAACGCAAATGTGTGGCCGTTCGGTGTCTAGGCCCAGACGCCAGGAGACCACACATTTGCGTTCGGCTGGCGTGAAGAGGTTAAACTGAAATGCAGAGTTTGGCCAAGGGGGAGGGCGCCCTTAGTAAATAAGCAGACCTTACAGTATATTATTTGTGCAAAGTTCACTTTAAGTTAATCAACCCCAGTGATTTATCCTTTACTCACTAGGACAGAAGAGAATAATGGAGTGTATCCGGGTGCCAGATCACCTCCAAATAAAATGGTAGCATTATAGTGCCGCATCCTAATTATAATAGTCAAATATTTTTTACTCTACTCACTAGGGTTTGTTTTATTATAAGAGATCAACAATCTCACTGTTAGTAAATTATGTGTTCCCGTGTTCTCTTTGAATACTAAATCATGTTAAAAAAAACAAAACGTTTTTGTTTTGCTAGCGCATGATTGGTTGACTGAAATGAACACAGCTTTAGCTTGTTTACTAAGATCAACATTTACTTTACTTAGTGATCAATCTCTATTTTTCTAGTAAATCAATCCCAATGCATTCTTTTTTAGATCCTTTTGTCTATAAGGATACTTTCTTAGGTTTATGGTTTCTGTTACAAAAGCAGTGTTCTGGCAAGCTCTGTCTTTTTCTATGTCCTATTCAGTTCTTTAAGAGGAATTGCCCTGTATATTTGGTGATTCAATTATTTTTTTTCAACCTTTGTCCCCCATTAGCATAACTCTTTGTCTTAGCTCCTTGGTCTCCTTTTTCTTCTTGCACCTTTTTTATCCTTCCTATGCTCTTTTGCTCAGCAAGCTTTCAAAGTTCAAATTTCTTAACCAAAGCTCTTCCATCCTCAGCCATTATCTAGCAAACAACTGCTGTCCAGCTCATATTGTTCCTGACAACCATGGCATGGAGTTGCATAGGTCTCCACAGAATACACATTAAAATAAAGCTGGTCTCCAGGCAAAATAATAAATATAACATAGTTAAAAGACATGACAGAACTGGCAGGTTGATGATCTGACTATTAACTTATGCAGTTTAGAAAAATAGTTTAGTCCCCTCCCTACTACCAGCCTGTGTGAAGGCTCATCAGACTGATAAGGCTATTTCTCTGCTCTCTCCTCCTGTTAACATGCTCATTGTCAGCACATGTGTAGGCAGTTGAACTTATTCACCTCCCACTCTACTGTACCAGGGGGATCTCTAGAGACCAATAAGAAGGGAAATTCAGGTACTTATGCAGGCCATAGACGGGGAGAAAAACGGCCGATTTTTCTTTTAAAAAACGAAAAATCGGTCGTTCAAGCGGCCGACGTTACCAGCAATGGTAAAAAAAATCGGTCGATTTTCATCCCGTCTACAGCCGGCAAAAAGTGTCCCTGCAGAGAGCTCTGCTATTTCTTTGACAGTTCTTTGACATTTACAGCGGTTGCAACAATGTATCTATTTGTATCCATTTAGGATACAGATGTTTTTATTCAGAAACAAATAGATACATTGTTGCAACCGCTGTAAATGTCAAAGAACTGTCAAAGAAATAGCGGAGCTCTCTGCAGGGACACTTTTTGCCGTACTGGAATTCCTCTTATTTTTCATTCTTCTTCATCATCATCCTCTTCTTCTTCTTCTTCTTCATCATCATTATCCTCTTCTTCTTCTTCATCATCATCCTCTTCTTCTTCTTCATCATCATCCTCTTCTTCTTCTTCATCATCATCATCCTCTTCTTCTTCTGCATCATCATCATCATCCTCTTCTTCTTCTTCATCATCATCCTCTTCTTCTTCTCCTTCTTCTTCATCATCATCCTCATCTTCTTCTTCATCATCATCCTCTTCTTCTTCCTCTTCTTCTTCTTCTTCATCATCATCCTCTTCTTCTTCTTCTTCATCATCATCATCCTCTCCTTCTTCTCCTTCTTCTTCTTCTTCATCATCATCCTCTTCTTCTTCTTCTTCATCATCATCCTCTTCTTCTTCTTCTTCATCATCATCCTCTTTTTTTCTTCTTCTTCTTCTTCATCATCATCCTCTTCTTCTTCTTCTTCATCATCATCCTCTTCTTCTTCATCATCATCATCCTCTTCTTCTTCATCCTCTTCTTCTTCCTCTTCTTCTTTTTCTTCTTTTTGTCTTCTTCTTGCAGGTCACGGCTCATGCGCAGATTTTTTATCGGTAAAAAATCGGCCGATTTGCCCATCATTGCCGCGAAAATCGGCCGATCGGCAAAATCGGCCGATTTTTTTCCCAACTTTACCGATAAAAAAAATCTGCCAAAATACTGAAAAACGGCCGAACAAATAGCCCACTAACGATCCGAAAATCGGCCGATTTTATTTTTGGCTGAAAAATCGGCCGATTTTTGACCCATCTATGGCCTGCATTACACTAGTTGCATTTCAAAATGTAATGAATTTTAATGGACACAAAACTGAACTAACTGGTGGTTTTATCTGCCTGAAGTTGAGCTTTAATATTTTAAATCCAATTTAGATATTCATTACTAATACATGAAAGCCAGTTGCCAGCTTATTTGTACATTTATACACAGTGGTATGTAGACATTAGTGTAAAAATTGGTTAACGAAGTGAAAACAGAATGAATTAACATATCAACAGAAAACAATGTAATTGTAAATTCCAGTTGTCCCTATTGTAGAACCAAATCCTTCTGTTCATGTTTTCTCAATCAGTCCTGCTAGCAATAGTGGTAGAGTGCATATATAGCAACAGATAGGAAGAAAAAAAATGCAATTGTGGAGTTAAGCAATTGATCACTTTTAACAGGTAGTTTCTTCATTATTGCTACTATGGGTGTGTCAGGGGTGTACCCTACATACCAAAAAGTACCCTTCTTAGAAATGTGGGGGGTGTCTTGTGCAATTTGCTACATTTTGTATATTAATTTACAAAATATTTTGAAAGGAGAAGATTAAGGGTGTGGGTCAATTGTAATTTTTATTTAGTTTTTTTTTAACTTTTAATACAGATGTTTATGTACTTTTTATAATATAATATAATGTAATATAATATACTTTATTTCCAAAAGTACTGAGACACCCAAATCATTGGATTCAGGTTTTCAAATCACATCCATGGCCACAAGTGTATACAGTCAAGCACATAGGCATGCAGACTGCTTCTACAAACATTTGTGAAAGAATGGGTCGCTCTCAGGAGCTCAGTGAAATCAAACGTGGTACCGTGATAGGTTGCCACCTGTGCAATAAGTCCATCCGTGAAACTTCCTTGCTATTAAATATTCCATGATCAACTGTTAGTGGTATTATAACAAAGTGGAAGCAACTGGGAACAACAGCAGTAGGTCACGTAAAATGACAGAGTGGGGTCAGATTAGCACAACAACAATGAGTTGAGAACTTCGTGGAATGGGTTTCCATGGCCGAGCAGCTGCATCCAAACCTTACATCACCAAGTGCAATGCAATGCAGAGGTTGAGGTGGTGTAAAGCACGCTGCCACTGGACTCTAGAGCAGTGGAGACGTGTTCTCTGGAGTGACCAGTCACACTTTTATGTCTGGCAATTCGATGGACATGTCTGGGTTTGGGGGTTGCCAGGAAAATGATACTTGCTTGACTGCATTGTGCCAAGTGTAAAGTTTGGTGGCGGGGAGATTATGGTTCGGGTTGTTTTTCAGGGGTTGGACTTGGCCCCTTAGTTCCAGTGAAGGGAACTCTTAAGGTGTCATCATACCGAGACATTTTGGACAATGTCATGCTCCCAACTTTGTGGGAACAGTTTGGGGATGGCCCCTTTCTATTCCAACATGACTGCGCACCAGTGCACAAAGCAAGGTCCATAAAGACATGGATGAGCAAGTTTGGGATGGAGGGACTTGACTGGCCTGCACAGAGTCCTGACCTCAACACGATAGAACATCTGTGGGATGAATTAAAGCTGACACTGCTATCCAGGTCTTCTCGTCCAACATCAGTGCCTGACCTCACAAATGCACTTCTGGAAGAATGGTCAAACATTCCCATAGACACACTCCTAACCCTTGTGGACAGCCTTCCCAGAAGAATTGAAGCTCTTATAGCTGCAAAGGGCGGGGCCAACTCAATATTAACCCCCACGGACTTAGACTGGGATGCCATTAAAGTTCATGTGAGTGTAAAGGTAGGCATCCCAATACTTTTGGCTATATAGTATACACTGCTCAAAAAAATTAAAGGAACACTTTGAAAACATCAGATCTCAATGGGGGAAAATATCATGCTGGATATCTATACTGATATGGACGGGGTAATGTGTTAGGAATGTACAGATGCCCCATTGTTTGATGGAAAAGAAAATTATCAACCTACAGGGGACTGAATTCAAAGACACCCCAAAAACCAAAGTGAAAAAAGTATGCAGCAGCCTTGTCTATTTTGCAAAAATTTAATTGCAGCAACTCAGAATGGTACTCAGTAGCTGGTATGGCCCCCATGTGCTTGTATGCATGCCTGACAACATCAGGTCATGCTCCTAATGAGATGACGGATGGTGTTCTGGGGTATTTCCTCCCAGATCTAGACTAGGGCATCACTGAGCTCCTAGACAGTGTGAGGTGCAACCTGGCAGCATTGAATGGAACGAAACATAAAATCCCAGAGGTGATCTATTGGATTTAGGTCAGGTGAGCATGGGGGCCAGTCGATGGTATCAATTCCTTCATTCTCCAAGAATTGCCTGCATACTCTCGCCACATGAGGCGGGGCATTATCGTGCACCAGGAGGAACCCAGGACCCACTGCACCAGCGTAGGTTCTGACAATGGGTCCAAGGATTTCATCCCGATACCTAATGGCAGTCAAGGTGCCATTGTCTATCCCAGCCTTTCTCAACCTTTTCAACGCAGAGGAACTCTTGATATAACTTGATAGAGGTAAGAATGCTCCTTACACTAGTGGTTATTGGGAAGAGTTACCCCCTTACAGATAGCTAAAAAGATCAATGGTATCAGTGGGAACTTACATGAGAGGCAAAAATTGCTCATTGCTCAAGGAACTCCTTGCAGCCTCTAGAGGAACCCTAGGGTTCCACGGAACCCTGGTTGAGAAACTCTGGTCTATCCTGTAGAGGTTTTTGCATCCTTCCATGGATATGCCTCCCTAGACCATCACTGACCCACCACCAAAACAGTCATGCTAAATGATGTTATAGGCAGCATAACATTCTCCACAGCTTCTCCAGACCCTTTCACATCTGTCATATGTGCTCAGGGTGAACCTGCTCTCATCTGTGAAAAGCACAGGGCACCAGTGGTGGACCTGCCAATTCTAGTGTTCAATGGCAAATGTCAATAGAGCTCTATGGTGTCGGGCAGTGAGCAAAGGGCCCACTAGAGGATATTGGGCCCTCAAGCCACCATATTGTTTCTGATTGTTTGGTCAGAGACATTCAAACCAGTGGCTTGCTGGAGGTCATTTTATAGGGCTTTGGCAGTGCTCATCCTGTTCCTCCTTGCACAAAAGAGCAGACACCGGTACTGCTGATGGGTTAAGGACCTTCTATGGCCCTGTCCAGCTCTCCTAGAGTAACTGCCTGTCTCCTGGAATCTCCTCCATGCTCTTGAGACTGTGCTGGGACACACAGCAAACCTTCTGGCAATGGCACGTATTGATGCGCCATCCTGGAGGAGTTAGACTGCCTGTGCAACCTCTGTAGGGTCCAGGTATTGACTCATGCTACCAGTAGTGACATTGAACCTAGCCAACTGCAAAACTAGCAAAAAACAGTCAGAAAAGGTGAGTAGGAAGAAAAATGTCAGTGGCCTCCACCTGTAAAGCCATTCCTGGTTTGGGTGTCGTCACATTGTTGCCCATCTAGTGCACCTATTGTTAATTTCATTAACACCAAAGCAGCTGAAACTGATTAACAACCCCTTCTGCTACTTAACTGACCAGATCAATTTCTCAGGAGCTTAATTGACTTGATGCTATACTCTGAATAAGAAGTGTTCCTTTAAGTTGTTTGAGCAGTGTGTGTATATATACATACATACACACATTTAATACTTGACAAAGGTTTCACAAAGCCAGTTTTCTGAATAGAGAGCACATGCAACATTTAAAAAAAATATTAAGCTGTTTTGAAAAAGAAAACTAAATAATTTGGGTAATGCTCACACTTTCTCATTGAAATCCCTGATTGAGCCATAGGTAAGGAGGGAGAAAGAAGGGACAAATCACTGTTTTTTGTGTTTGTTACATTTTGATTTATTAAAGTGATTCTAAAGGTTGTATGTTTTCAATAACAAACATATTACACTTACATGCTCTTTGCAATAGTGTTTACTTTAAAGTCGTTCTAAAGGCAGAAGGCTTTTTACCTCAATGCATAGAATGCATTCTGGATATAGCTCCCCCCAGCCCCCCATATATTTACCTGTGCCCCATCTCGATCCAGCGATGTGCATGAGAGCAGCAGATCTCCCAAATGTTTCTCTCCTCATTGGCTCAGACAGCAGCAGGAGCCAATATGATCCAGCCTGCTCGAGTGCCCCCATAGCAAGACACTCAGGGAGAAGGACTACCATTGGGGAACCCAAAAAGAAGAGAATCGGGGCTGGTCTGTGCAAAACCATTACACAGAGCAGGTAAGTATAACATGTTTGTTATTTTTTTTAAAAATCACGTTTACAATCACTTTAATGCATAGAATGCATTAAGGTAAAAAAAAAGCCCTCTGCCTTTAGAACCAGTTTAAGCTCTCAAAAACAACTGACTTTTTTTTTTTATAGCAGGGAAATATAAAAGACTTGTGAAAAGGAGCCTTCAGTTCCACCTTCTGGAATAAAATGAGAACACACAGTAGTATTAATATGAAATATTTAATTTTTACCCAACTGAAAAAAATGTTTTGAAAATATTTCTTGTAGTCCCGACCATAGACATATTAAAAAAAAAAAAAAAGATAGAAACTATTCTACATTAACATAGCTTGTCAAAAATACAGCAAAAGACATCCGTTTTAGCAGTTCTTTTGGTGTACTTAAAACCTAACTTATGGAATATGCAGCAGACATGATTTGTTGTGTTCTTTTCTCAGAATTCTCATTAAAAACGCATAAATCAAGAAACATGTGTGACACTCCAACAGACCGTGATTAATACATTAATAAATTTAAATAATAATTCAAAAACGACTTAATCAAGATCTATAGGATGTTATCTAAACCAATAACACATACATTTTTTACCTGTTTACCATGTTATGTGTTTTTTATAATAATGTTTTAAATCACTTTTATACACAGATGTCTTTTTTTTTTAGGTTTTTATCATTTCCCTTATTGCAATTGGGCTGGATTTAAACAAGCTTACTGCGCACCGAGGCTGAAACATCGAGAGCTTGTTTACCGTTAAGGCATTATATTCCATTTTCCTCAAGACTGCACTAAACTTTTTCACTGAAACAGATAATATAATCTAATATACTACACAGTTGCATAGCTGCTGTGAGGGGGAAAAACACATTCGTTGATATAATATACAGTAGTTTGAACTTACATAGACTGCCACTGGATAAGCATAAGATAAATACGCTTTTAAGCAAATGAAATGAAATATACTTATTTGTATACTACTTTGAGAATACATTGGAGGTTTATAGTTTGTGTTCCTAAAATATGTATTTTAAAGTGAAAGAACATTTAAAGTTGAACTCCAGCTTTGAATGATTACATCATGAACATAATCAAATACACATATTAATGCAGTGAAATAAAAAGTTTTTGCCCTGTTTGGTACCAGTTAATAAAAAAGTATATCAACTGTTGTGTGCCCCATTTTCAACAAATATGATACCAGAGATATAATATAAAAAAACTTCATATACAGTAGCACAACAATACAAAAAAATTATATTTACTTTATTCATTAGAAAATGTGAATAGTAGCCCTAGGAGAGCCAGCAATATAAAAACAATCAAAAAAAGAAAGGACACATACATTGGACACCCTGGATATTTCTCCACTGTTGAAGCAAACGTCCATAGTGCCTAGAGCCCCAATAGTATCCAAAATAATGGTTATAAATATATATATATATATATATACATATATATATATATATATATATATATTCATAAAAAATACTGACTTAAAAAGTAGGACACCTTTTCAGAAAAATCAAGAAGACAAACTAACACCCTACACTCTCCCTACCTCTCTCATCCTTGCTGTACTTACTTCTGTGGGTTATGATATGCCAGTACTCGTACAGCCAGGACATCGGACCAAGGATTGAAAATCGTTGCTCTTTTCTCTCTTCTCTGGACAGAGCATCAGAGTCAGATCAAAGTGACGTTCTGTGATGGCACAGACCAATCAAAATCTCTCTGATCCATCCTAGAAGTACTGCAGAGAGAAGAGGGAGAAAAATAGGGATTTCAAATTCCCAGACTGATACACCAGCTATGTGGGCACTGACAGCTCATCATCCGTGGGGTATAAATACAGAGGGAACCCAGAGGGGAATGAAGGAGGGTGAACTTTAAGCAAAATCTTTTGGCAATATGAAACCTCTCCGTATATATAAAATAATCCAACATTGATCTCATGTTATAGAGAAGAACTTGTGGTAGGCACACCACTTATAGACCTTGGCA